GGCTGCAGGGAGCGACCCCACTGCGGGGTCCATGCTGTCGGCTTTCAGGACCACTTCATTGTCCTGAGAACCAAGCGCCCGTCGGAGAGGGCGGCCGTGCGGCTGGGCTTGAAAAGCAGGTGCTTCGAGGGTTATTGTGCCTGGTGGTTTTGATTTAGGGGCGTGTGAGGAGGAAGAAAAGGCAGGATTGCAATAGGTGGTTGCCTCAAGCAGCTGGGCAGGACAGGTGAGATTGATGGGACAGGTGGAGTGAGGCTGGAGATGGGTTGTCCCCTCTGCTTGGTGTGCTTATGGTCTGGGGAAGGGACTGCAACCCCTTCTCCCTCCCAGCCTGCCTGGCCGAGGGGCCCTTTCACAGTGAGCTCAGGCTGGAGTTGTACATCTAGAGAGTATCTGGTTTAGAGCTTTGTGGAGATGATGCTTTTGCCCTTTCTCAGTAGGCCAGGAATGAGAGGAGGAAAAATATCATCTCCAGAGCAGCCCAGGCACGGCGGCTCCTGGCCTGCCATGAGCAGCTGCCAATAGGGTGTTTGCAGCATGCAAGTGAGTGGAGGAGATTGAGGAGAGCAGCCATGGCCTGCAGCAGAAGAGTTTCATCTATCTGTGGACCTAAGTGGCATGACCAAAATGCCAGGGATTGTTCCAGTGGGAGCTATGCTGATGAGCAGAGTCAGATAGGATGGGATTCATCAGATCAATGACTATTGCAGGTTATCTGAAGTATAGTAAGGTTGGGAATTATCTCCTGTGGAAGTGGAGCCCCATCATTCAGTACATCATTGAGGACAGTTCATTTCACCCAAGGAAGGTGATCTCATTCTGCTGGCGCTCACTTAGCCCTTGGCTTTTCTTTTCCTTCCTTTGATTCCTGTCTTGGTCAATCTTCGTGACCATTGGTGGTCTAACAGCAGCAGAGGTTGGGGAAGGGAGGCATACAGGCTTTTGCATTCTGTTAAATCACAGAAAGGAGATCTAGAGGCTCTTGTGACACCATCTCTGCTCTGACCTGCTGCAGCAGAAGGGCTCTGTGATCTGCATGACTGTCCCTATTGTGTTTTATTGCAGTGGTCAGCTGTTGACCTGCCTAGGGACTGATTTCCACCGTGGAGCTGGTGTCCTTGATGTCTTCTATGAGACACCCTCCCTTCTCCTTTCATGTGGGTACGACACCTACATCCGCTACTGGGACATACGGACCAGCACCAGGTGAGCCCGTCCTGCCAGCACAGAGGTTGCAGAGGCTCTGGGGCTGGAGCGATGCTCCTGGGTGCTCCTTGTGCCACAGCTGGCGTTTTGCCTGCTGCTGAGATAGCTCCTTTGGGCACACTGGGCCTCAGTTCCAGTCCAGGCTCTGGGTGGACTCGGTCATATGCTGGTTTGCATTGCTCTTGCAGGAAGTGCGTCCAGGAGTGGGAAGAGCCCCACGACAGCGCCCTGTACTGCATAAGGAGCGATGGGAACCACATGATTGCCAGCGGCTCTTCCTACTATGGCGTGGTGCGCCTCTGGGATAAGCGGCAGACTCGGTGCCTGCAGGTGAGGGCTGCCCGCAGGCTGGGCAGCTGCAGGTTTCTAGGTTGTGCTCTGGCAGCCAAGTGTCCACCTCTTTGGATGAAGAGGCATAAAGGCTGCTGGTGTATCTTTGGGGGGGTTTGCCATAGAGACCCTAATCTATGTTAAGGGAAAATTGGTTCTCAGTCTTTGGACTTGTGCAACTCCAAACAGGGTCTCATGGCTGAGTTCCTCCTAGGAGACGTTAATTCTCTTGTTTTCTTGCAGAGCTTTCACCTGTCTTCACCCACCAGCAGCCCTGTGTACTGCCTCCGCTTCAGTACCACTCACCTGTACGCTGCGCTGGCATCAGCCCTGCACGTCCTCGACTTCACCACCCCATGAGGCACTGTGGCTATTTCTCGTCACCCCTACTCAGTGGAGTTGACACTTGGCTCAGGGAATTGCAGGGCAGGAGAGGTGAGAGGGGCCCCAAGGCGTCTCAAGAGATTCTTTGCCTGCCAGAAAGCTACTTTCAGGAGTGCACAAAGGGCCAGACTTTCTCCACCTCACCTGTCCTTTAGTGGAAATAAAGGCCGGTTGTCCTTTACCCTTTTTATTTTGTACAAGTCAGGGTCTTTTTTTTTTTTTTTTTCCCCAAGCGTGTTGTTTTATTTTTCTTTCTTTTTTTCATTCTGTGGATAGAGTATTTGAGGAGCAGGTTGAGCTGGGTTTCTCCATCAGCTGTGTGTGCTGATCAGTTCAAGATCAGACAAGCTCTGAGCCATGTGAAGTAAACCTAGGTTGTGTGTGGGGTGCAGTATTTTGGCAGAAGGGGAGGTGCCTGGAGCAGGTTCTACCTTTCACCTGTGCTTGCTCTTCTGACAGCTGCTTGTGTTGTCCTCCAAACCCAAGAGCAAAAGCTGAGCTAAAAGGCAGAGCCAGCCCTGCTTTGAGCATATTCCTCCCCAGCTTGGCCATTGGGTCAGGCTATGCATTTGGCAGGGCTGAACAGTCCCGTTTTGCTAAATAAAACACTGAAGGGAAACAGAAAAGACTGTATGTGTTGTTTCAAATTCCAAAGGGGCTCTGGTGGTGCCAACTGATTGCAGAGGCTTGGATGGGCAGAGGATGTTGGGGCTGTTTTCAGACACTGCATGTTTCTGCTGGACCTGCGGCTAGACCGTTGCTGTGTTGAAGACAGTTCTTGGGATCTTGGATTTTCACAGATGACCTGAGTGCTTGCTGCCTCAATACTGAAGCAACACACTGGTCTATGGCAGATCCCAGGGAACCGATGCAGTTTATTGGGATCCTGTAGGCATATGTGAATGAGCTCTGCTCTGCTCCTTTCTGCATCAGCCTCCAGCATCCAACCAGAGCTGGGTTTCCCAAGGAGCATGGCTCCATGGATTAGTGCAGCAGTGTCTGGGGCCAGTCCTCCTTGGGGCAGGGATGTGTGATCTCTACTGGGCTGTGAGTTTGAGTTTTCTAAATATGGAAAAGAGTCTTTGTATCACAAACGGTGAGTATTTCCAGAGCAAAACTCCCACCATGGTGCTTTGCTAGGACTTTCTAGGCCAGCTGTACTATCAAGAGGTGGCTCTTGCCCTTGTGATCCACACAAATTGGAAGAATATTGGTTGTTTGGAGTTGTTAGCCAGGAGGGAGAAGAACCACCCAGCTCCTCCTCCTGCACGAAGGCAACCCTCCTTAATTCCCAGTGGATGTGAGATAGGGAAATAATTGAAAACTGTGGTTTTGCTGCAGGATCACATCCTTGCAAGGATCTCTTTCCAGCACAGCTCCCTGCCACAGTTCCTGATGTAGCTCTGGCACATCATTCCCCCTCGTCCCCAGCTCTCCTGTAGTTGCTGCAGTGCCACTTATTCTCCTGGAAGGTAAGTGATGGATGTGATGTCTAAGTGCCCAATGCTTAGATATCTTGCTGCAAAAAAAGATGCCATTGAGATGATGGCAGAGAGAGAGATTATACAAGTCTGTGGGTAAACTGCTTTTTTTTTCTCCTAGTGTGTTCTAGATCCTCTAATGGAAGCAGGGGAAGAGAGCTGCAGAGACCAGATGTTTTGGGGAGAGTTCTCAGGGAGAGGCTGTGAAGGAAGTGGAATAGATGGTGGTGAGGGAGAAGTTCTTTACTGACAAGCCCCAGGCTAGAATGAGCTGCCATAGGTCAGCCAAGCAGGTGAACGGTGCCACTGGTGTGAGACACTCTTCCTGTGACAGCCCTGCTTGTCAGTCCTGATGTCCCCATGGCTCCCATTCCACTCTACGGCCCATATTGGTGGGTCCTGCACTCCTGTAGCTGCTTTTACGTTATCTCTAGCTGAAACCTAGAGCTGAGTTGTAGCCACGTAGGGCTTTCAGCACTGGTGAGTAGAAGGCTGCACCATCCAGCCTTTAGTGGCACTGGGGTTTGGGAAGCTGCCTGAGCAAGGGGGCTGGGGCACTGGCTGTGCTGAGCTCTGGTAGGGGATGGATGGTGCTCCCATCCTCATACGAGGACTTTACAGAGGGGAGCTGCAGTTACTCAGTCATTCTTCACTGCTGAGTGTAACAGAACAGAGGGGAGCTGCAGTTACTCAGTCATTCACTGCTGAGTGTAACAGAACGTGCCACTCACCTGGTCCCTGAGGAGCTCTTGTTTTTGAAAGCAGACCTCATCAGGTGAGCTGCGCTGGGTACCCATGGCCTACTCGCTCTTAAGGGTGTTTAGGCAGGAGCTTTTCAGGTACGGACCAGGACGAGACAACGTGCTTTAATCTGTAGGGATGGCTGGTGTGGGCTGGAGACAGTAGCAGGTTTGAGTGTGGATAAGGCAGTGCTGGGAGGGCATGTTCTCTCCATACTGACTTCACACCAGGTTTGCAATGGGCTGTGCTTGCGCCCAGCTTTGCAAAGGGTGCGTTGCTGCTACTCCTAGGCTGGCTGGAGAGCTCAGTTGCTACCTATTCCCTCTGCCGTGCAAATGAGGGGAGCTGTGTTTCAGTTCCAGTACTCTGGGCAGCAGCTCTCTGCTTTGCATGTGGCATTGCAAAGAGCTGGTGGTAAGGAAACAGCTGGGTGTCTTGTTCACCCTATTTCACAAGCTGTTCCCTGTTGAGGTCAAAGCCCTGATACTGTTTGCAGAGATAGCAGGCTCAACATGGCATCCCCCTAAGTGCACAAACGAGCACCCTGAGCAACAGCTCAGGACAGAGCTGCTTCTAGACACACCCCAAGCAGGTAATGGGTGTCAGGAGGGAGTTTCTCCACTTACTGCCTTCAGTAATGGCGGCAGAGGGAATTCTCATGGGGAACTACATAGCCTTCATGCTGCTTCTGCTCGCTGAGGATGGGAAAAGGGCTTCTGGATGAGACTGTTGTGCACTTCCTTTTCCTGTTGTAGCTTTCCACAACTTAAGGAAGGATCATAAAAGTCTGTGTAAATCAAAAGACCAAAATGAGATTGAGTGCCATTTCCTGTGGCCTGCAAAAACTCGAACTGGCTGTGTTGACAGGACAGGTAAATTTTATTACCAAAAGTAAAATAAATGCCATGAAGCTGTGCCAGAGAGCTGCCCCCCACCCCAGCCTCCTAACAGCCTACTGGGTCTTACACTCGTTGTCATCTTCATTTGCTGCCTTTATCTTCTTCAGCTCCTTCTGTAGCTCCTCTTCGGCAGCCAGGATCTCCTTTGGCTTCCGGTACTGTAGGACAGAGAGATTCCCTCAGCCTTCCTGTTAGTCTCTCATCTAAGCAGCTTAGTTCAGGCAAAGCTGCAATTGACACTATGGTTTTTAGCCTCTTTCACTTTTTTTTTTTTTTTTTAAAAAAAAAAAAAAAACACTTCTTTGAGGGCCAAGCTGAAGATCTGCCAGGGGAAGCTTTTCTGTTACCGGCCACCTCCAATGACTGCTTGGAGCAATGGTGCTGTCAAGCTAGGGATGTTTGCCAGGTTTTTACAGAGGTTTTTTTTTTTTTTTTTTTTTTTATTTCCAGAGCAGGCAAAATTTCCCAATTGAATATCAAGTTCTGGTCCCTACCAATGCCTCTGGAATGTCCTGGCAAGCTGTGTTTGCAGATCCCTGGTGTGTTTGATGGTTGTATGCAGACATTTTATGTAAAACATGTATTTTTTTTTTTTTTTTAAAAAGGCAGACAGAGAAGTGAGAGTTTCAGTTCCTCTTTTCTCCCCTCAGAGTCCCCTCACTCTGCTGCACCTTAGTGGTGGATGCAGGTGCCTTTTTGCAACGGTTTGTACAGGAGCTTAGAAGGGCTCAAGGTGCTGCTCTTGGCTGGTTTCCTCTACACTCTCAGGTCTTCCCTTGGAGGGATGCTCTCTTGGTAGCTAGCTCCTACATTTGAGAAGACAAGTTGCCACAAAAAGCATCTGCCTGCCTTTGGAATCTCTGTCCGACAGGTAAGTCTTTATTTTGCTGGCCTCTAACTTCTGCCTTGCGCATCCTTGCTGGCACAAAGCAGCAGGGATTTTAACGGTGAGAAGCCTCTCAGTGTAGCAGGCCTTTGGACTCTCACGCACAGAGCATGAGGGAGCTTTGAGAAAGGAGAGTCTTGCTGCTGCTGAGGGGGGCAGCTTGCACAGGTCTAGGGGCTGGGACACATGGAAACGTTACAGATGCTTTTCCACCTGCGAGTCACTTTGAGCAGCAAGCAGGCACCTCCTGGGGCCTGGGATGGCCTGTCCAGTGTCAGCATGCCCAGTGTAACCTCAACCTTTCAGGCTGTGTGATAGAGAAGGGGGCTCATCAATGACGCTCAGCAGATCTCCCTGCTCTATCTCACTTCTTTGTGTGTAAGAATTTTAAATTCTTTTTGGGTGTGAAGATATGAGCAAAATTCTATTCATCATAGCCAAAATCTCACCGTGATGATCAGGGTATTATTGGCATGGGTGAAGCTCAGCGCAGCTGCATCCAAGGGGAGTTGGTATCTGTCTAGGTCAGGAATGGGGAACCTTTTATAGTACCTGCATATAAGAGAAGAGACAAACAAGAAAGGTGGTGAGGTCCCTTTCTCCTACTAGCAGTCCCGAGCTGCTTTGCAAAATGTAGTCTTGCATTTCTTGCAAGTAGTGTACTAGGGTCCATTAGCTCCTGCCAAAACAGCTGTCAAAGCCCTTGTGCCCTGTGGCTGTTACTTTCCTGAGTGCTGCACGGTTTAGTGTTTCAGTGCTTCCTGAACCCATCCTTTGGCCCCTTGCTTGCTCCTGTTGTGCTTCCTGGATCACCCCTTGCTTTGGTGCCAGCGTGGTGCTTGAGGATGCCCCTGGGCTTTGAGCTCCAGATGTGACTGTCCCCAGTCACCTGAGTCACTGCTTCAGAGCTCTTCCATGCAGCACTCTTGCTGGTTGTCCTGCTGCTCTGTGCTCTCCAGCTAGCTCTCCTGGCTGCTCTTTCCCCGGTCTCTTTCCCCATTTCTTGATTGCTTCTCATATCTAGGTAGCAGATAGGGAGATTCCTGCCAGCTGAACCTACCCAACCTGAGTTTCTCCACACTAAACCTTGGGCTTTACTCTCTGTGAAAGGAAGGGCTATGTTTCAGTTACAAGACACCTAGGCAGCTAAGAAGTTTCCTAAGATTTTTGCAACCAAAACCTCCTTCACCTGTTTCTGAGCTTGGCTATGACCCTTCTTTCTTACCATGACTTGACCTGTATCTACTGCCTCTCTCTGGGGCTTCATCAGCTAGACCAGCTGGTGGTCCTGTGCCCACCTAGACGCAAGGCTGGGTTTACAGCCTCTTCCTGCACTCCCAAGGGCAATCCCCTCCACAGAATTAGCCTGCAGTCAGTACTGAGGTGCCCAGAGCTGAACTGGAGCTGGCACTGGCTGCTGTCATGCCAGGAGAGTTTCCTGTGCGTTCAGCTGACTGTGTATGAAGCCCTTCTAGCTACATCTGCCCAAATTGTAGTTTATTTTCCAAGTCACAGTGAATACAGCTACAAAGGGCAAATGGCTCTCCTGGTGCAGTGGGAGGAATGTACACAGCTTGTTACCGCAGGGCTCAAACCGTTCTGTGTTGTCACTGCTGTCGGTATTTGGAAAAGGTGGCAGACATGGATAATAAGGGAGATGTCAAAGGTTAAACAGCAGAGATTAGATGAACACAAAGACATGTTAAGGAAGTGTTAACTTCTTACCGATTAGACAAAAAAAAAAAAAAAAGGCAGTACACAGGAGAGGGGAGAAAAAAAAAAACACTGTTTCAAAGGGCCTTGGGAGTCATCAATGAAACAGCAGCATTCTGCTGCCGCAGGACTAAGGAGAAGAGGAGAAGAATGGCTTTGGCTGGCCTCAAACTAAAATCTGTGACAAGATCAAAGGAAACCAGATCTGCCTGGCCACCCCCCTCCTCCTCCTAACATTACCACTGCCTCTCACTACAATAATTGAATCAGGTTTGGCGTTTGGGGAGGAGGCTTTCTGGGTTTGTTTTTAGAGTTTAGTTTAATGGATTTATTTTACAGCAAGAGGTTTTAAGCAAATCCCACTTGAGCAGCCCTTGCCGTGGCCAGAAGGAATGGGAATGACTGGTGGAAGTAGAGAGCTCCTGTTTCGGCTGGCGGACCGTTGATGGGTGGTTTTCCCTTCTGGAGACAGGCAGATTCTCTGCCCTCGCCTCTCACCCCATGGCCAAGAGCAGTACTGCACTCCGAGCCTGGCTCCTGGCCTAAGACCCACAGTACATATGTGAAGCAGCCCTTGCCGTGGCCAGAAGGAATGGGAATGACTGGTGGAAGTAGAGAGCTCCTGTTTCGGCTGGCGGACCGTTGATGGGTGGTTTTCCCTTCTGGAGACAGGCAGATTCTCTGCCCTCGCCTCTCACCCCATGGCCAAGAGCAGTACTGCACTCCGAGCCTGGCTCCTGGCCTAAGACCCACAGTACATATGTGATTTCACCTTTTTTTTTTCCCCTCCTAGTGGAAACC